ATATAGTTGCTAAATAGCTGTGATAAACTTTCCAAGCACCCTATAACTCTTACCTGTATACATTTCGCCCCCTACACGTAATACTCTGTGCACGCATGCTCCTTTCGCTCAGAACAGCATTTATTCAGTCATCACGCGACAAGATCACGAATATGACCTTAACAGTTGCCAAGGAATTCTATCGATAGCCTTATACACATTTGTCCATTGTACTTTCTGAAAAATTGGACTTGTTCAACCGCGAATGAAACAATTGGAATTCGATTCGAAAATTTGATCGTGATCCATCTGTCACGGTGATTAAACCGAATAAACTGTCCCTACGAATTTCTATGTTTCAACGCACAAAAAACTATGTACTCACCGGGGAAGCTGTGCGTACACGCGACGAAACACGCCGCGATAAGTAGAGCTGCAGCAAAGATTTTCATTTTGTCGCGTTGATGTGGGGAAAAAACCGCTGCGGTAAGCCTCTGCGACGATGATTCGATTAGTACTGACGAGTTCGGCTTCTTGCGAACGAGCTTGTCACAGAACTCGCGACGGGGGATCAAGGTCACACACGGAACCAGCTCACTGAACGCTGACGCTTTGCACTACGACTTTTGTCTCGCGCCACTCTATATGCGATCGTTCGCCCGCCGCTCGACCAATCATCGTGCACCTCGTCGTGGTCACGTGAACAGCCAGTCACGTGACCACAAGGCGCGCTACTTGACTCATTGCGTATCATTTTTTTCCTGGTATTGCTAATCTTGTACTATGTCGTTACTATCTTTAACAATTGTATAAACAGAATAACCGCCGCTCTATACTTACCGCGACTGTTGATTTCATACGGGATTACACAGTGAAATCGTTGATATTATAATGACAGGTAATCTAATGGTTGTGAATATAATGAACAAGTTCCTCTCCTATTTCATTTTCAGCATACGATTTTATCATCAGGTACGATTACTTAAATAAATACGTTAGTCGATAATTCCAGAAGAGGCATGAATATCTGCCGCAGCTGCGTTATTTGTTCTCTAAAATGTGCTTATACATATTTTATATAATATTTATACATATATTCGAACGTTTATAGTAGCACACCTCAACTGGAATATCACGGAGAATTTTATAGCAATGAAATTCAATAACTATATATACATATATTCGAACGTTTATAGTAGCACACCTGAACTGGAATATCACGGAGAATTTTATAGCAATGAAATTCAATAACTATACTAACCATTTGAAATACGAGATTTCCGTGTACCGCTTTTCCGCATTTATATCATTGAACAAGAGCTTACACTATGTACGAAATATGTCAATATTTCTTTAAATTTCTCGCTATTTCTAAAAACTGAATGTTTAATTAATTATTTCGAAATATTATGGTAATAAAATAAAATTTTGTAAATATTACTAAATACATGACGCATTTAATCTTTTTCTTCATATTATAATTGTCAATAAAATTCGATCATTATCTCGGAAATTACAATCATATCTATTGTATATTTTTTGAAAGAGAATATTTATGAATTGTTACATTACATTCAGTGTGTTGTAAAACTCAAATAACTAAAAATAAAAAATATCTAGAAATCAAAATATATAGAAAATATACTATTAAAATTAATAATACAAATGTGTGACTTCTGATTCATAAAATATAACAATTTTAAAATATTTATTTTACAAATTAAAAATTTTCTTGTTCTTTCCGCGAATTAATTGATGAGAGCTGTAATTTTTAATTCACGAACTTTTCTAATGTATCGAAACAACAATTGATCAGTCTGTAATTACAGCACACGATTGATTACAGCGGAATGTAATTATATAATTGGTTCCAATGCTTCTGCTTTGAATACTAATGATTATTCAAAGATTTCTCATTTCTGTGAAATGTACGTCTCGAAACTGTGTAATGCTTATTCACGTGTACGTCGTTAGATACGGATATAAGAAATAAAGATTCAGATATAAGAAACAGAAACGATATTTATATCAAATATTTCGTGTCGTCAATTTTATTATTCGTTAATAAATAATTCAATATTTTTAACACTCAATGACAAATTTGTAATTTTCTGAATCTTAATAATTAAGTAATCAGTGATCTGCCGAAGGTAATTAATTTTATACAAAATCCAACTTGTGCATGTAACTACATAACATGCTAGCGACGCCTGTGCGCAAAAGTTGGTCTACCTTGAATTGTTATGTGCGGTATAATCAATCTGTACTCTGTACTAGTTCGAAGGTGAATTAGATTTACTACTCATTTCCTTACGCATCATACAACGTAGAGGATAATTTAAAAGTCAACAGAGGATAATAATGAAGAATAACAAGTCTACTTCTAAGAACTACATATCAATATTTATATCTACATATAACTACGTTTATTTTACTAACAACCACTACTAATTGTTTGTATTTTCGCATGTATTTTTATGAACTTATGAAAATATTAAAAATACAATTGATCGTTCATGGGCAATTTTGGTAAATTTAAGTATGATACTTCTATATTACTAATTAATAATATCAGGAATATATTTAACATAATACAACATGTAGTCACATCGCATTAGCTGCTTTAATATGCAATACAATAGCAATATATTGCTATAGTAAGTAAAATAAAATGTTAGAAACGTGATTTAATAATTAATGTTATCGTGATTCGAAATAACAATTTCCACACGAATATGGATCACAAATGAATAGAGTTTCAGTGACAAAAACTTGTTTATCACGCTAAACATATGGCAGATTAATTTGCACATTATTTATTTTTAAAAATCTTACGCACATGTTAATGGTAGCTTTTGCGGATAGACGTAACCGATCATTTCACAGTAACGAAAAAGTAACTGTACACGCAACGGCAATGTAATAATTAGTTACAATCGTCAGAATAACAGGTATATATACATTGTTAACCTCGTTCCTCATGCACTGCAAAAGTTTCAAAAGTTTAAATCGTTAATAAATCGAAACATCTGAAAACGTACGGTTGTTTTTTGCAGTGAGTCAGATATAATTCAAACAAAACCGCGTAATCGTCGACGAACAGAGAATTTGTCGATGAAACCACACAGTTCGTCTTAGCTAATGATGCAGTTCCAACAGGTCACTGATCACGCAAACGTTTCAAACGATCGTGCAAGTAATAAATGGTCGACAGTGTGAGCCGCGAGTACTTATGCGAGCCGTTACGACGCACGTTAAGCGATCATACGGTCGTGGAATATAAATGGGAACCTTCATCAACGACATTATACGTCGAATTTTCGAGATGTTATATTTGCTCGAAAACTGGCGTCCGTTTTGCGACAATGTGTGGGACTGTGAACGTCGTTATTTATAAAGTAAAAAGTCTCGAACGACTGTGAGTGATCTGTTCGGTGGCACGTCGAGTTAGCGAAACAAAATCGTTTGAGAAATATGTGTACTACATTTTCATTATGGTTTTACATAATTCGGTTGAATAAAATTTCTACACGCGACATGCTTAACTGTTACATAATACTTTTTGCTACGATGTTTGTCGATAATTGATGACGTAAATATTAATGTAAAAGCAACAGATGAAATGAAATCGATTTACAGCAAGCCGCGTGACAAAACAGTGTTACAAATCCTCCAATATCCTGTAGTAACGCACGAACAATTTATAATACATACTTCTCTGTTTCACGGCGCGGCGTTCCTTCGTGATGGCTCGCCGAAATTGTCAAATTCGAGCGCAGAATAAATCGAGCGATCGTCAGTTGACACAGATTTATTTCAGAGACTAGACACCGCCCGACATTAATTTAGTAACTCGTGAACAATGTGGTTTGCCTTTTAAACATATAGAAATTTTCATACTGTTTTATAGAACACTATATAAAGCCGTGTATTATGTTCGCGTGCATCAATATCGTGATCCTTGTCGTGGATGACTTTCTCGTGTTATCTTTTTGGAACGACGACTGTTTCTTCTTTATTTCTTCTTCTTTTTTTTTTTTCTGTTCGTTTTCGTTTTTCTTTGCCATGCAAACATTTATGCCGCCAGTTTTATCAGTTGTGCGATTCGTAGAAAGGAAGCGGCAAATCAAAGATCGTGATTTTTATGCTTCGTTCGATTATCAAAAAATGACAAGGCAGAGTCGATTACATTACTGTAATTATATGATGCATCATGCATGATACGGTACGATACTATGGTACGGTGTTATTCAAACAATTTTGTAGTTTTAGCAAATACATTTATAACATAATGCGTCAAAGCGTAATTTTCAACTCTTCATTACTGAATTTTAATTTAAAACTGAGAATAATAAAGATATGCGATTTTCGAAATAATTTATCTGTAACAGTCTGTCGCTACATAATGTAAATTTTAGTTTGTAATTGAATTTACAAATTTCATCTGTCAATGATATTATTATAGCATACTTTCTTTCGACTAGTTTATTTTTTTAAGCACACTTTAGTGTGATAGCTATTTCAAACAAATCTTGTTTCTCTCTTCATATCAGGGTTTTTTCATCTTGCATTTTTTTTTCTTTTTTCTTTCAATTCATAATTTTGTATTATCATCTTACATTACTTTCAGAAAATGAAATTCA